GAATAGCCGAAGTCCACAAAAAGCCGGGGGATCCCAGGCCAATGCGTCATGAACGTAGCCAATTCAGTCCAATGCTGGGGCAGCAACGGGAAGTTTCCCTGTCCACTACCTTTCAAGCCTGGGGTCCCAGGAGCAGGACAGCTACCAAGCATGGCCCGGCTGGCTGGCGGTCTGTGAATAAATACCCGAGAAGTATTGAACTGGTTGTAGGAAGAAGAGTGAGAGGAGGGAACTCACAATGGTGTGGAGTCCCTGGCGGACTAGGAAGTCGCAGTGGGACCGTCTCCTCGAGAGGGGTCTTCCCGGAAGGCCGGGAGCCTGGCCACACCCCGCGGGAAGCTGGGCAGGTGTCTGAAACCAGGGACTTCTCAGATGCCTTCCAGCGTCTCACAAACTGTTAAATCCTCATCCAAGGACATGGTTCTTTTATTGATTTTAGAGAGAAAGGAAGAGAAAGGGAGAGAAAGAAACATCCATGTGAGAGAGAAACATCAGCTGCTTCCCATAGATGCCCGGACCCGGGATCAAACCACAACCTGGACACGGGCCCTGACTGGGAATCCAACCTGCAACCTTTCGGTGCGCGGGACAATGCTCCAACGACTGAGCCACACCGGCCAGGGCTTGTCACCACCTTTTGAGTCAGCCCTCCCTCCTGCTGGTCCCAGATGAAGTCTGTCACCACCTGTCCCGCTGGGCACAGCAGGGCGCCAGAGAATGTTGCATTTGGCTGGTTACAATGCCCTGCCCTGGGGTCTAAATTGAGGCTCTATCACAAAAGCTGCAACAAAATTGCCAAATAGGAACTATTGGCAGGGGCGCTCCTCTCCCCTGCTCGGGCCCCATCCTGACGCACCGCGTGCTCTCAGGTTAGCCGTTCAGAGCAGGGTTCATGACCCAGGCTGAGTGCTCGGAGTTTCTTGAGTCCCCTCCCAAGGCCTGTTCCTTCAGATGATGCTTTGTCGTCCTGTGACCCTTCTGTCAGTGCGCCAATGTCATCCAGTGAGCAAATGTTTGCTGAGTGTCTGTTACGTGCCCGGCCTAGCAGGGGACAGAGTCCTCCCAGCATAGACTGACCAGTATAATGTTGGGACATAAATTGTGAAATGAGCAAAATCCACTCCTGGAGTCGGCTAATAGCAGCACCCCCACATGAGTCAGGGGGTCCAGGGCCAGCCACAGGGGACCCACTTCCGAAGCAGTCCCTCTGAGACCCCTGAGCTGGGGGGAAGAGCGTGGTAGCACAAAGGGCCTCCGCTGGTGGGCCCTGCACCCACTAAACAGCTAGTCTGAGCCGCTTGGTCCTCTGACAAAGGCTGGCCCCCAAATCTGAATCTGAGTTGCACCCAGTCTGTCATCAGCAGTGTTTCCCATTGGCCTCTACCCAGGAAGATTCCTTTCTCTCCGAAGTATGAGCCACGAGGGGCGTGGACCAGTTCAAGCCAATACCTACAGTGAGATGGAGCAGACGCACTAGTGAGTGCATTTGCCAGCACTTTCCCGCCCAGGCCATCAAGTCCCCGAACCAGGGGGCGAGCATCCTGAGCAGGGCCCGGGCTGTGGGCGGTGGGCCTGCTGGCCATCAGGCAACTGTCAGGACTAGAAGCCAGGCCTGATTCCCAGTTCTGCCAGCACCACATACTAATGGCTGGCGGGAAGCTCCTGGCAGCTCTGTGCTGGTCTCACAGGCACTCTAACAGGCCGTGCTCAGGTCATCAGGAAGGCCACGAGGGACGATGCGAATGCCGGATACCGTGTGCAGCCATAATAACCGTTTCAGTAACAAACCAAAGAGGAAGTAAAACAGTGACAAGTAGCTTGGAGTCCAACCTGACGCTTCTGAGAGCCCCCATATACTGGCTGGGACGAGTTCTACCCCCAGAAAGAAAGTAACCCCTCTTGGCCTCAGACACCTACCTATGAGCTGACCCAGAAGGGGTCTGCCCTCCCTCCCGCTCTCTAAACAGGCAGAGAGCCGGGCTGGCCCAGGAAATGTCCACTGAGGCTCCCACGGGCCTCTGGGGCTGGGTCAGCCCCAGAACAGAGATCCCACAGCTCAGCGTCCGCAAGTCAGGACCACACGGAGAAAGTGGATTCCCTGCCTCCCCCACTCCTGCTGCGTGAAGCCAAGGTCCGCTCTGGTCTGACCCTGTGTGGTCAGTGGGAGCAAGGGGATAAAGTGCCAAAATTGGAATCTGGGGCACAGAAAGGTGCCAGGGACCTTTCAGTTTTGCTATACACGTTCACATTTAGCGCTTAAAACAACAAAATGTATGGTCTTCCAGGACAGTTCTGCAGGTCAAAGGTCCAAAGGGGTCACACGAGGCTAAAATCACGGTGTCCGCAGACCTGTATTTCTTCTGGAGACTCTAGTCTAGGGGGACACGGTCCTTTGCTTCTGCAGCTTCTAAGGCCACCCGCACTCTTGGCTCCTGGCTCTGTCCAGCAGTCACTTCACTCTGACCTCTGCTTCCACCCTCTCGCCTCCTTCTCTGACTGCACTTCTCCTGCCTCCCTTGTGTATAGTTAAGGGGTTTTGGGATGGCACTGAGCCCACCTGGATAACCCGAGATAACCACACCATCTCTAGGTCCTTATAATCACATCTGCAAAGTCCTTCTGTCATGAAGGGTACAGTCACAGGTTCCAAGGAGCAGGACATGGGGGCCCATTGTTCTGCCTGCCAGATGTGCACCCTTACTATGTAAGACGCTGATCTGTAAGGTTCTGTTCCTTGCTCAGTTTCCTCTCCTTCTGGCACCCCTATTATGCAGATCTTGTTTCGTTTCATGTTGTCCCAAAGTTCTCTTAGGCTCTCCTCCTGCTTTTTAATTTTGTTTTTCTAGAAGCTGCTCTGCTTGGGTATTTTTTCCTACTTTGTCTTCTAGCTCACTGATGCAGTCCTCTGCTTCTTCTAGTCTACTGTTGATGCTTTCTATTGAGTTCTTTATAGCAATGATGTCATTTTTCATTTCTTCTTGGTTCTTCTTCATTTCCTCTTGGTTCTTACACATATTATTGAATTTGTCTTCCATTCTTTTCATCCACCTTATGACCATTTCTCTGGATTCTTTCTCTGACAGGTTGCTTGCCTCCACTTCGTTTACTTCCTTTTCTGGTGGTACCTGTTTTTCTTTCATATGCGGGCTGTTTCTTTGTCTCCCCATGATCTCTCTTCTCCGGTTGTCTGGTTATGTAGTTCTCTCTCTCCTTATCCCAGGTGAAATCTGACCTTTCCATGAGGGGGTGCAGAGCTCCTCCAAATCCGCGTGCTCGCGCCGCTTGGGGACCAGTGTTCCCATGTTCGCAGCTGTTCACTGGGTACCATTGTTGTAGTATCCCAGGATTTTCAGGCTTCCGACAACATCCACTCTCCCCTTCAAGATGGCACGGTCTCCGCATCAGAGCCAGTCGCTTTGGGAGGGATCCCAACAGCAGTGGAAGCTGTTGGGTCAGGGGAACCCCATCCAGCAATCCCCCACAGTCCCCTGCTGTCCCTCAACTCACAAACAAACACTCCCCGTGCGACCACACACTCTCCCTTCATTCTCTCACTCACACACTATCTTGCAGTCTGCCTTCCCATCGACAGCCATCTTCCTTCCCTCCTGCGTAAGGTTCTGTAACTGGCCCAGCAGCACGCAGATAAGCAGAGCTGGGATTCAAGCCCAAGGCTGCCGGGCTCCAAAGCTTTCTTCTCTGAGGCGAAAGACACGAGACTGGCTACAGTGGGAACGGCTCAGAGCCCCTCCACGCCAGGATCTGGCATTGGAGTAGGAGGGCACGTTTCTGCCTGGGGGTTCCAAGTCCGCAGACCTGGGTTCTAGGTCCTGTCCTTTCTCCAACTCCCTGAGAGACCAGAGACATCAGGCAAATTCTGTTCACTGCCTTCAGTTTCCTTGTCTCCAAGGTGCTGGGGAGGCTGGAGCAGCTGATCTCAAAGTGCCTTTCAACGTGGACATTCAGAGGTCCTGTGACTCAGGGCCCGTCAGTGGCCTGGTGCGGAGGTGCTGGGCCTTCAGAGAGAAGCCTCACAAACAGCGCTGCACACCAGTGAGCACAGCTCTTCACCTGTCAGGTTCTTGGGCCCCCAACAAGCCTGTCCCCATCTTACTGATCCGAGACGGAGGCTCGGGGAGATCACATAACTGCCTCCCCAGGCGCCTCCAGGACTTTGCAAGTCGGAGGCAAAAGGAAATGAGAAAGCAGTTCTGCTGCCTGGACCCGAGGTCTTTCCTCCCACATCAGTGGTCCCGGGGGCCGCCATCCGTTCTCACCTGTGTGTGATCCCATGTAAATATGAACCACCCAAAGATACATGTTTTCCATTTACATGACTGTCCTTTATTCTGAGATTGTGCTCTATTTTTGTGTCAAAAATCTTTTCTTGCCCTCACCAGTTCGGATAGAGTGTTGGCCTGCGGACTGAAGGGTACCGGGTTCGATTCTGTTCCAGGGCACATGCCCGGGTTGTGGGCTCGATCCCCAGTAGGAGGTGTGCAGGAGGCAACCATCAATGATTCTCTCATCATTGTTCCTATCTCTCTCTCCCTCTCCCCTCCTCTCTGAAATCAATAAAAATATGTCTTTTAAAAAATACTTCCTGTTCTGAAGTGCTGGCCATGGAGGATGGTAGGGTTGGGGGCGCAGTAGGTAGGGTTTTTACATGACAACATTTGAAGTCGGCAGCTCTATTGCTGGTCTCTGGAATTGGTTTGGAAATACTAGAGGCCCCTGTAACCTCCAAGCCAGGGAGCCCCTGAGCACTTCCCCCTCTCCCCAGGTGGCTCTGAGCGCCCCACGTCTCTTCCTTAGGCCTTGGGAGGTCTCCAGGGGCTGGGAGAGAGGGGTGCAGAAGCTGCAGCTGGGGGGGGCAGAAGGGGGGAGTCTGCTCTGTGGGGGAAGGCGGGAGGGGTGCGGACACATCTCCTTGGAATCACAGGGGCTTCCTGCTGTTCCTGACCAGCTTGGGGACCTTCTTCCTTCCCTCCTCTCCCCTGCTGCACTGACACAATGGACAATAGTGGGAAACAGGGACCTGTAAGCCTGCAGCCACCCCCTCCCACTCCCTCCTGCACCCTTGATCCCTGGCCCTGCAGGCTCCCCACCTCCCAGCTTCCTGTTTGCCCACTCTGTTTGCCCAGCCCCGGGTCAGAGCTAATCCTTGAACTCTAGGTTCCAGATTCCCGCTGGGACCTGTGAGCCTTGGCAAGGCCTGGGCTGGACTGATCAGCCTCCCAGCCCAGCCCCTGCTGGAGGCATAAATAGGCCCCGGGCAAGCTGCTGCTCAGAGCACTCGCCCAGGTACATGCCGCTGCCTCCTCCAGTCCCTCTGGCTCCCCCAGCTTGAAGCTCAGGCTCTGGGATCTTGGCTCCAGGCTCTGCCAGGTGGTGGGCTCTGGATACCTGAGGCTGCTCTGCCTGGAGAGTGGGGCACAGGCCCTCCAGCCACAGGCACCCACTCAGCCAGGCCCCTCTCCTCCTCCAGGTCCCCAAGATGAAGGCTGTGGTGCTCACCTTGGCCCTGCTCTTCCTCACAGGTAAGTGCCCCCAACCTAGACAACCAACATCAGGAGGCCCTCACCCTCACCCCCGTGGTCTACCCTTCTGAGCACAGGGAGCGGGATTTCTCTCAAGACCCCTCTCTTCTACCCCAAGCTGGCCTTTCCGCTCAGATCCGGCCCAGAACTGGCCTGACTGAGGTGCCTTCTCTCCACCCCAGGGAGCCAGGCTCAGCATGAAACACAGCAAGAGGAGCCCCCGTCACAATGGGAGCGAGTGAAGGATTTAGCCAAGGAGTATCTGGACTCAGGCATAGCCAAGTTTAAAGCCATCGACCTGGCAAAAAAGCTGAAGTAAGGCCCCCCGCGTGGGCTCTGGGTGGCGCAGGGGCTGCTGGTCCTGAGGGGCGGATGCCAGGCATGTGGGTAGATGTAGCCACACGGGCTGCATCCCAGCTGCTACCTGATGGGCCCCATACCTGGATGGAGAAACAGCCTCCTAGTGGGGGGGGGGGCAGACTAGGGCCACCCCATCAGTGAGCCCAGCATCGCGTTCTGCCTGCACGAGCAGCAGCCCCCTCCCTTCCTCCAGTCCCTCTTCCTCTTGCCGAGCGAGCGGCAGGGAGGGCGGTCTTCGGAGACAGAGGAGAACAGTCTGGAAGTATAGAGATGAGGCCTTTAAATGGCCCGGCTTTGGGGACAGACAAGACTGATCACCAAACCCAGCTCTGTCTCCCACTAGCTCTTCAGTCTGGGGACTGTGGTTGGGGGGGAGGAGAGGAGGGTCCTTGGGCGAGACAGGCCCAGGCCTGACCCATCGCTCCCCTACAAGCAGGCACAGTTTCGCCCAGACCTCACCACAGGTAAGCTGGGCGCTGGGTCTGCAGCTCCGAGGTGTCCAGGGTGCCTGGGAGGTCCCCCCTGACACCTGCTCCCTCCCTGCCCCGCAGCCTGACAGTCGTTGCAAAATTGGCCACCCTGAGCGACAAGGTCGCCGCCCTGCCAGAGCAGCTGGGCTGGGCCAAACTGGATGAGGTGGGGATGCTGACCGGGGAGCTGAACAAGGACCTGACGGAGGTGAATACCTACCTGGTGGGCATCCAGAAGAAGTGGAAGGAAAGGGTGGAGCCGCTGCGCCAGGACCTGCGTGAGCGCGCACGGAAGCAGCTGCAGGAGCTGCAGGAGAAGCTGGTCCAGCTGGGCGCGAAGGTGCTGAACGGCACGCGCGTGCACGTGGAGCGCGCGCGTCCGTACGTGGACTCGCTGCACCCGTTCCTGGAGACCATGGGCGAAGAGCTGCGCCAGTGCCTGGAGCCCTGCAACGGCAAGCTGCGCGAGTGCCTGGAGCCCTACGGCGAGCAGCTGCAGGCGCTGCAGGCGCTGCAGGCGGGCAGCCTGGGGCTGGCCAAGCTGCGGGAGCAGGTGGGCGCGCAGCTGGGGAAAATGAACGAGGAGCTGGAGTCGCTGTGGGCGAGCCTCCAGTACCTCTTCCTTCCCTTCCTGGACATCTCCCAGAGAGGCTGACCGGCCCGTGAGGCGCCCGCTCCCCTCCCCGTCCTCGGTCCCCTTCCCATCGATCGGTTTCTGAGAATAAACGTTTACAAAGCGGGATGCATGTGTTGGGTTTGATGTTTTTTGGAGCTTCAAGGATGGTTTTTAAACAATTAAAAGGTCTCCAAACGGTTCTCTCTTGGGAGAAGGGATGGGGTGCGGGCCTCGGAGCGCGCCGCTGGGAGCCCTGCGGGGCGGGAGCTCTGAGCGGGGCCTGCTCCAGGAGCCGGTGCAGGCGGTAGGCGTCCCCTCCTAAGCAGGACCAAGCAGAAAGGAACGGGGCCAGGCAAAGCAACGGATAATCCAATGCCAAGTGCCTAGGAGCCCGGCGGGACTGCAGCCCGGGTCTGAGGGGCACGGGAGGGGGGCTGTTTTGCTGGGAGAAGCGGTCCGGTCCCCAGAGGCCTCCCCTGGGCAGAGACAGGAGCATCCCAGCCTCGGGCTCCGGGAGGGGAAGTGGGGGGGCACCTCAGGGAGCACTTGAGGAATCTGGGCAGGCGCAAACTAGGAGCCTGGCCCTTGCTCCTTCCTCCTTTATTAATGAAACAGCGTTAAGCACTTCCCTTTACTGTTTTCACAAGGGCAGCTGCCCTCCCTCACTCCCACTGTGTCCTCAGCTGTGAAGCCAGCCAGGCCTCCTAGGGGGCTCCAAGCCCTGCCACCCGCTCTCTGCCCGCTCTGGCCTGCGTCAGAAAAACAACCACGCCTCTGCAGGAAGTTAGCACACGTTTATTTTCCAGATGCTTTCACAGCACCGTCTTACCGCATCCCTCTCAAATCCTGGGCGGACAGCCATTACACCCATGTCCAGAGGAGGGACTGGAGCTTGGAGATGGGAGGCCCCCGCCCAGGTTGAAGAGAAGGGTGGCAGAGGTTGCCCTTTTCAAACCCCTCTGCCTCTGGGCATCCATGGCTATTTAACAAAACACGTGTGTGGCCAGCACTGAGTTTGTCTGGATACACACGTCTGCACGTCCACATGTGTGCAGCCCTATTCACACCAGCCTCTTCACAGCCAGGCGTGCCACCCTCCGTGCATGCGCAGGACCCACAGATCTTCAAAGATCTGGGCAGCGCCTTCACGCAGCCTTCCCGCTGCCTCCCCGCAGGGCTTCCCCGGCCTCGGACAGGCCACTGGGCGGTTCCCCTCCTCCATCTCGTTTCTCTTAAGGACTCTCGGATAAAGGACAGGCCTTTTAGTTCCTAACCATCTTGGCTCCTAACCACCTCCACCAGCAGCTATCAGCCCAGGTGAGAACATTCCCCACGTGTGGTGCTAGGCTCACAGGCCCAGCTGGACCAGAGATTTCCTGGGCAGCAGATGTCCCCAAGGGGGTCCGGGTGTACAGGGCCCGCCCAGATTGGTCAGGGAGCCCTTCACACCTGGTATAGGAGGGGTAAGGCTTCTTTCTGTGTCTGCTGAGCAGAATGCGGGCGGCTGACCTGGGCTTGAGGTCTGGCTCCGCCACTGGGCAGCGACATGGGGAGGCTGACTGTGACATGGGCAAGCAAGGCCTTCACTTCTCTCAGCCTCATCTTCTTCACTGGAAGAATGGGGGACCGCTCAAGTAGAATGTGGTTCTAGAACTCTCTGATGAGAGCGTCTAAGCAAAGCACCATCTGTGGGTGACCTTGGGTTCCTTCTTAGTTCCCAGGACACTGGCCCTCTCCCGCCAATCCTGGTCCCAAGGGAGCAATCAGCTCAAACTGTAGCAACATGATATCCGTTTACCTTTGATGTGCCAGATGCTAAGCACGGTCTCATTTCACTCATTCATTCAACAAACCTGCAATGGAGGGGGCATTGTTGTGCCCCCTTTTCAGATACGGAACCGAGGCTGATATACTTGGTGGACAAGGTCAGAGCCTAGTCGTATCTTACCCAACAGCTCCCCCAGGGGCCTCCTCCCCTCAGGGGTGGCTGAGAGGGCCAGTGGCCCAGGTGGTGCAAGTCAGTAGCTCCATAACAGGGTGAACACACAGTCTCAACTCTGGCGAGGACGTACGAGTGCAGGCACAGTGCCTGGCAAGAGCACACATTCAAGGCATGTTGTACAGCATTTGGCAGTTTATCCAAGTATTGTCAAACTAGCATCCTGTTTGTGCCTCCACACAAACCCGTCGAAGCAGGCAGGGTAAGTAGGGTTATTCCCACCTTACAGGTAAGAAACTCGGGCCCAGACACGAAGAGGCGGGAAGGGCACCGGCCCTAGGCCTGCTCGGTCCAGCGCCGCCTGCAGAACAGCCTGCCCATGCCCAGCCCAGACATAACATGACACATGTGGGATGCCCCACTCACAGCAGCTTTATTGGGAAGACAGCAAGCCTGGGGCCAGGTCTGGGGGTGGGAGGGGAGGACACTGAGAATGCTGCCCCTTTCGAGCGAATTTCGGGGGCAGCCTTGGAGGCTGCAGGACCCAAGGAGCCGACAGGATGGATGGGCAGGCAGGCGTGGGGCGTTGAGGTCTCAGGTGGCCTAAACAGCCGGAGCCGGGGTGGTCCCTGGGGCGGCCCCAGGGGCCAGGGGCCACAAGTTGGAGAGCGGGACTGTGAGGGAGCTCCAGTAGTCCTTCAGGGAGTTGAAGCCATTCGACATCCACTTACTGCATGCAGACAGGAGGGAGAGCAGAGGCGTGAGGACAGAGCTCACCGGCCGCAGCGGCCACCATGGGCCCCACGTCTCCCCACTGCCTCTCCCCTCAACCTTACCCAGCGACCCCCCTGAGGCCTCAGGCAGAGTCCCCGACAGCTCCACCCCAGCAGAAGGTGGTGATGGGACCCTCGCTCAAGTCCCTTGCTTGCCTCTCCAGGCTGGGCAAGCTGGCAGGGAGTGAGGGCGCGAGAGTGCCGGTGGGGCCTGTCTTTCTATTCTAGGCAAATGCTGCCCCTAGAGTCAGACAGCCTGGTGGCTCAGAGTGGGGAGCAAGGAAAGGCCCCTCATTTGGAAAGTCATCGGAGGGTATCAGCTATGTGATCTGGGCAGGCCACAGCCTCTCTGAGCCTCGATTTTCTCATCTGTGAAATGGAGAGAAGAATTCCCTCTGCACAGGCAGTTCTGAGGACTGAGAATGTCTGTGGGGCTTCTGGCAGGTTCACCCCAGTGCCGGGCAGCGCAGGCGGAGGGGAGGGACAGACTTCTGCTCCTGTGGGGCCCCGGGCTCAGAGCAAGACTGAAACACACACACACCCTGGGCTGAAATGGGGTGTGGGGGGGGGGGGCATCACAGTCAAACTGCCTGCCAGGCTGTCAGAAAAGGACAGGGAACTGAGGCCTTTCTTAAAGCCACGCAGGACAGCCGAGGGAGAAAGGAGGCGGCAGAGGGAGAGGGGCCAGGAGGAGAGAGCCTGTCCTCTCTCCTCATGGCCACAGGCCTGTTGCGTAGACCAGGCAGGAGGCTGAGAGCGCAGGTCCCGGGCGGGGCAGCTGGGAGCCGGGCGGGCGTACCTGGCCTCCTGGGCCATAGACAAATCCTTTACGCTGCTGGTCAGGGCCTCCTGGGCCTGCTGCACGTAGTCCTGCATGAGTTTCAGGAGGGAGTCCTCGTCCGCCTCCTGTGCTCCTGCGAGGACAGCGGCCAAAGGTGGTGGATCAGCGCTGGGGAGCCCTGCCTCCTGCCCAGGCACCCATCAGCCCCCAGATCACCAAGCCACCTCCCAAGGGTCCTCTGGCAGAAACCCCCCCCCCCCCCCGCCCCAGCCCTAATCCCCACAAGCTGCTTACGGGCAGAGGCCAGGAGCACCAGGAGGGCAGCGAGGAGGAGGGCCCGGGGCTGCATGGCGCCTTTGTCCCTGCAGGGAAGGTCTGGTGAGGGGAGCTCCAGGCCTGCAGGGGTGCACCGAGTTCCAGGGCACCGAGCTGGCTCCTCGCAGGTGCAGAGCCTGCTCCCACTGAACACTCAAACACGGGAGGTGAAGTCTTCCCGAAGCAGACACAGCCCCCAGGAGGGAGGCGTGGGGTGGAGCGGAAAACCCACCAGACCCGGAATCAGGACACCTGGGTTCTGGTCCATCTCTGCGACCAACACGCTGTGTGACCTTGGGTGGAGCTGCCCTGTCCGGGCCTCTGACTTCTGTCAGGGACAGGACTGGGGTGTCCAGTCCCAAACATGCGACATGCGGACGAGGAAAGTGTGCAGACCTGGAGGCAGCTCCAGCCCCAGCTCTGGGCTACTTTCTACGTCGCTTTGGGCAGGTGACCTCCTCTCCACGGGCCTCAGTTTCCCCCAGTGTGCAATCGGAGTGGGGGCCTCCATCAAGCCCTAAGTCTTCCTGGGCTCCTCTCAGGCTCTGCTGGCTGGGCACAGGGACCCTCTTCTGCCCGTCTCATCCTGCTCTCCTGTCCACCACCCTCCCCTCCCCCGCCACACCCAGGACATTACCTGGAGCAGCTGCTGCTGGGAAGGAACTGAGCAGGCAGAGCAGAGGGTTCTGACCTGTTTTATATTGTCCCCGGGGCAGTGGGTGCCGAGGATCTGGTGACCTGGGCAAAGGTTACCTGCTGACCAGTCTAGACCAGGGCCTCAGGCAGGGTGGCCAGATGCAGCCAGGCCTGCTGGGAGGGTTGGGAAATCTCTAGAAGGCTGTGGGTGCCCATGCCACTCTCCTGGTACCCCTATAGCCCAGATAGGTTCAGGAACTGGGGGTGTATGAGTCTGGAAAGACCCCATTCCTTCCTAGCAGCCTGGCTCCTCTGGAAGAGGCTAGTGAGAGCAGAGGGGCTTTGGGACAAGCCAGGGGCCTCTGGGCCCACCTTTGCCCTTCACACTCGGTCCCTCCCTTCCCCGCCCCTAAGCCCTGATAACAGCCCGGACTGGGGGTGGGGGGTGGGGGTGAGAGGGCAATGGGCTTGGGAACAACTCAGAGCATTGGGCTGCGGTGTCTGGAGGGGGTCGCAGAGGCCTGGGTGAGGCTCGTGTGTGGAGGTGACACGGTTGAGTTTACACAGCCCCCTCCCCGGCATCTCCGACTCTGGCTTCAATCCCAGTGCTGCTTACCCAGAAGCCTCCCTGTGCTGGCCCAGGGCAGGGGGTGGTGGGAGGAGGGCCAAGGCCACTCTGGCCTCTGAGCCCAAGGCCTTTGTCCCACCCCGCCTCCCCGCTCCTCCCCTTGCTCTCTAGACCCACTGATAACATTCCCGGGAGAGTAGCAGGGCTCCTGGCTGGGCCCTCCCCACTGGGATCAATTCCAGTGCCGAGCACCTCTCACCACAGGTTCCTCAGCTTGGAAACGGCAGCACTGGCTGCTGGGCACCTGGCGGAAAGCAAGGCTGGAGGAGGCCGTCTGGTGGGCGGAGGGCACCGAGACGCTCTGCAGGGTCCGCTGTCTGTCCTGGAGACAGGCGGGCTGGGGGCAGTGTCCCCAGGGCCCACCGCGGGAGCCATGGCCTGGATGGCAAGATCAGGGGACTTTGAGTTCTAGCTGCTAAGACTTTGGAGCCAAGAAATCCTAGGTCTCAATGATGCCTCTGGCATTTACTCATATGGCCCCGGACCAGAGGTCTAACATTTCAGAGCCTCAATTTCCTCCTCTGTAAAATGGGGAGAGAACACTGATATGCCAGCGCTCCAGTGAAGAGCACAGGAGAGGTACAAAGTACTGACCCACGCAGGGGGCTCCTTAATCTCTCTCCCCTCCTCCCAGCGCGTTGCCCTTCCCCTGACACCACATCCAGAGGCAGGGCTGCTTCCGATGGAGAGACTGGGCTTTTGGCAGGCAGCCGTCCCATCAGGAAGAAGTAACCAGCCCCACAGTGTGAAATCAGAGCCTGGGAAAATGGCCTGGCCCTACCCGCAAAATTCTTTACTCGTGGCTGAGGCTCAAAATTTTTCTATTAGACACTCATTCCTATGGCTTAGACCTTGTTTTCTGTCAAAATTTAATTATTCAGATTCCCATGTAGTAGACAAGATTAACGCCATTTTATAGGTAAGAAACCGAAAGGGACGGAGATGGACCCAGGAGCACAGCCTCTCAGCAGCACTGGGAAACACAACCCAGGTCTTCAAACACCCACGCTGGCACCAAACAGCGTGGAGAGATGAGCGCCTGGAGGTGTATCAGTCACTCATGCCTCAATTCATTGCAGGTCTCTTTCTGAGCACAGATTTTGCTGATGGAGTTGGGGGTGGGGGGTAGGAGAAAGGTGATTAGAAGGTCACTGAGCCCTAGCCGGTTTGGCTCAGTGGATAGAGCATCAGTCCCTGGACTGAAGGATCCCAGGTTTGATTCCAGTCAAGGGCACGTACCTGGGTTGCAGGCTTGATCCCCAGCCCTGGTCAGGGCACGTGCAGGAGGCAACCAATCCATGTGTCTCTCTCACATCAATGTTTCTCTCTCTGTCTCTCCCCCTCCCTTCCACTCTCTCTAAAAATAAAATAAGTCAATGGAAAAATATCCTCAGGTGAGAATTAACAAAACAACAACAACAACAAAGGTTTGGGCACTGGGGAAGCAGCAGGCAATTTTGCCCGCCTCCCTCTTCTGCTCTGACCTATTCCTCATCCCAAGAGCGAGAGCCACAGCAGAAACCAGAGTCCAGGCGGGGCTGAGGCACAGCACCTCCGCCCAGGGTGTGCTGGGTGGGATGGCTGCATCCCTCAGCCCTGCTTCCTCCCTCTCCACCTCCACGTGAGGGGTGTGAGGAGTCTGTTCTCTGTCCTGCATGGCAGTGCCCGCTGAGCCCAGGCAGGTGAGAAGCTGCAGGCAGAGCGGCCCAGCAGGTGGTGCTGAGCTGGTCACCGCATGCCCTGACCCCCGGGACCCATCTCCTCCTAAGGGCTTGGTACCTGTGAGCGCTTGTGCCCGCCTAGCAGCTCTGAGCCTGGGTCTCTGTAGGGAAGGGGCTGTCTCGGTGGGCAGGGCAGGGTCCTATTAGGCCCCGCTCTCCTTTTCCCTCTCCCTCCTTCCTACCTGACTCCCCTGGATTAAAGAGATTACTTTAGCCTACAGACCAGCTCTGGGGAGTACCCAGGGTGCGTGTGTGTGTGTGTGTGTGTGTGTGTGTGTGTGTGGTGTGTGTGGTGGGGGCCAGGGAGGAGTGTTGGGCTGACTCTCTCTGCTTCCACTTGTGTCCAGGCGCCCCCGTGATCCTATTCCTGCCACTAGGCTGGCCTGGCAGCCTTGATTCCGCCTGCCAGCAGC